GAGTGGTCCGCGACAGCCGCGTGCGGCGAATCGATTACCCAAAATCGTTCCTAACGCCCGTCTCCCATACCATTCTGGTATTCAAAGCATGGTCCATGCGTAAGAGATATTGCGCCACCTGACACCACACCACCTCTGCCCTGTCATTTCTGTTATTTGTTGGAATCAATCTGTGATATCGGGTAGAAGGGAAGGGCGTGGCATAAGCCGAAAACCAGTTCACGAAGTCAACCCCTTTAGATGTCCTCTTCCATGATTCCTTTTCATACTCGACTGATACCATTAGAACCAGTCTCGCTGGATTTGGATCGAATCAAACCTATTCCAAGTGAAAAAACAAAGCAGAACTACAAAACCCAAGTTTGCTCCCTCAAGACCAATTTTATTTTTGGATTGATTGTAATATGCCCTGCGACAAATACTTTTCTTTGTTCCTGGTCCTTAATCAATGGCATGATGTTTTTTGCAAAATTGCGAGATTGTCTTGCTCTCACACTAGAGGGTTCCATAGTTTTGTTGGGGCTCGGGAATCCATCTCAGTTGATTGATAGCGGGTGTACTACCAGCGTAGAGCGCGATGTCAATTTACAAAGCGCTTTCATCTGAAATAAGGACGTTCGAAGGGGAGAATTAGTCATTCACCTCCTTGGCTGTGAACGTCACCTGTCGGTCGTCGCAATCCGTGGGCCACCTAGACTACCATTCAGGCCAACCTTGAAAAAGGGTATGCTGGTTTACGAGGTCCCACGGTAACGAGGAAACAGGCCTGGGATTCGCTGGAGGATCCCAAAAAAAAGGATCCCAAGAGAATTTCGAAGATATGGAATCGCCACCCGTTATCAACTGGTGCTGGTGTTAGCGCATTGAAGCCAGCTCGATCATGAGGGGTTGAAAACATTAGGGTGAAATGGGATTGATAATTCAAGTAAAACTTTCATCGTCACATGGGAAGTGAGCGAAAAACCACGGCGAAGATGGGAGCTCTGGCTTGTGCATCCTCTGCATCGGGCATTTCTGCAACAGGTCGAACACGCTTCCAAATATTTTGGTATTGCAAAATGAAATAGCCTCCATGGCGCACTCTGATGTTGGACATTGCAGATGGCCAATAACAGGTTATAGAATCATTTTCTCAATTTTATGTGGCTCTGAACAATCCCATTTTACATGTAGTTATGTTTTTCAACATATGGTAGCCATTCTGCAGGCAATTCTCCCACTTCCGTAGAAATTACACCGGGCGACTTTTTCAGGAAGGGGAAACTGCTCGAGACTAGTCCTACTTTACACATTTGACGATTCATTCAATGTACCTCCATTACAGTTTACACGTGGACATCATTTCTCATCGTCAATTCGGTGTGAACTCCCCTCCTCTTCCAGAGCTTCTCGTGGGTGAGTTAAGTTTATCTTCTTGTTTTGGCAAAAGAACTGGCTAGGAGAAAAGTTGTTTTGCCTTTAACGCCTGCGAAATTTTTATTTCTAGTGAGGATCCTTCAAAAAGGGAGCGGCATCCCTCACTCATTGTTACAAAAAACTGAATATTTACAAGTTACAGCCCAGGATAAAAACAAAATCAGCGGAACTTTCTCTTCATAATTGTTAAAAATTAAAATTTCAGAGATCGTTACTTAGATTCTTGCTCATCGATGAGCCTTGCTTTTACAGGCTACTTTCCACATTGAGATCTGCTGGATTTCACCAATATTTCAGAGAAGTCTAATAGCAATAGTCCAGCAATAAGTGGCGGAGGTGGCGTAGTGACGAGTGGCGCACTATAACACGCGCATGGTTACGGGTTCGAATCCCGACTCGATATCCGCCTAGACCAACTAGGCTTTCCATCCCTTCCCGGTCGGTTGATTGGTACCAGACTTATCTGGGAGGATAAACGCACTGGCCTGTACAGCTCGGCTGGATACCGCAGGTCATTGTATAGGACACATACGCATTCAATCGCCACTGCGATTCTGATTGGAAGTCGAATGCGGAGGTTTATCCTTCAGATATGATTTGATGACCGCGAAACTTTTTTCCTCTATCCTTTTAGCTATCAGTAGGAAATTGATAATCTGGAAAAATCAAGTAAGAATGGTGAGCCTAGCACTTTCAGTCGAGTGTCCGCTAACATGAGTATCTTTTTCGGAAGATTAACTGAGCACATTCATTGGAACCAAGCAGCAGCTGACTTTCTGCACTTCTCTTTCCGCCGATATCGTACAGCTACACCAACGAATTTAAGCTAATATGTTCTTCGAACACCTGTTCAGCCAATTAATCATAGCAGGGGTCTTTTGCTCATTTTATTAAAATACCACAGGCTTTGAATGAGCAGTTCATCTGACGACTGAACCTTAGGAGTGAGCCCATTTTCAATTTTCTTCTTTTGCTTGTGTCACTTACAATCTCTCACCCACTGGCCTTACTCGACTGGATAGAAGTCATTTTGGTTTATGTAGGCATCCCTCCTCTTTGGTGGAGTAGCAGCTTCTCTAGCCATCGGGCAAATATCGTTCCCAAGTGTTCCATGGGGTTCGCAGAGTTTTGGAAGAACGAAGTGCCTTGGCATAATTACAACCTCAACAGTGACAACTGCTTGAACCGAAAGTTCCTCTAAGAAAACATGACTGAGAAAAACTTTTCCTAACTTTACTGCAGTAGTTTTAAAGCATAATGAAGAGCTGCTAACAATTACAGTAAAAGGCACTTTGCTCTCACCTCGAAATCTTGCACCAAGGAGGCAATCAGCAGCAGTAGGACTCCTACGCAACAAATGTTAGGGGATACTTCCCGAAATCTTCTACAGTCTTGCATATTAAGCTTTCTTCAAATTAAAGTTTCATCCGCTTGGTTCCATCGTTTTTTTCTCCAGTATCTAATGCTCCTGAAGACTTGCCATTTGAACCGTTCACATAGAAATAGACATGCAGTCAACTTCCTTGGATTAATGTGCTTTTGAAATGAGATTCCCCAGACTGTAGAATCGGAATAAAGTCCAAGAAAACAAATCTGGGGCATCCCTTGAGATGAGCCATGCATTTGACTGTCATTCGGGATTGTAATAATCCTAGGAACTGCATTTGGCGACACCTTGGAAAGAAAACTTGAAAAAAGAAAGTGCCTTGGAAACGAATGCTGAAGAAACGGGCTAGACCTGGACAGAGCACAATTTGGGAACTGATCAGAGAGCAGTATGTGCGGTAGCAGTGCTACTAGGCACTGTTCCATTTCATTTGCCTTACACTGAGATACCATGGAAGATCCATGATTAAAAATAATCAACAGGGTTGTTAGCTTTAGTCAAGCCCGATCCAATGAAAGAAGCACATTTCAAACGGACTGCTTTTTCTCTTGCGAGGACAGTGTGCTTGGATTATGAGCCATCTCTTAGTAAATTCTGGTTTTTTTCAGTTTTGATNCTTCCATCTCATTCATATTTATTTGTTCTTTTTAATAGTGAATTAAGCTCGAATGAACATATGAACGCTGCATTTTTCTCTATCTTTACACTGCTCATCCATCATATGAATGAATGTGATTGTCCATGAAAAATTTATTCTTCCTTCAGGATCAGTATGTGATGTTGTTGTAACTGACTGATGCGCCTACATCCGCTTCTACTTAGTCTCAATATTATTCTATTTGTTGAAGGTAAGAACAGTTCTATGATGTGAAAGATTGAGTATGTATAGAGAATCCTGTCATTGATCAGTAAGTTCCCCGGTCGCGCCAGGGATTTGGTATCAACCCAAAATCGATCCATTAGAATACATAAAGAGGCCTTAAGTGGCGTACAAGCCTGGTAAGAAAACATCCATATGACCTCCTTAACAACTCTCTTGCGGATGTTGTAAGAAGTCTGCGTGAGGAACTTGAATGACACTAATAGAAGTTAGTCCTACAACGAGTGCGAGCAGCCTCCAGCGCCCCGAACCACTGCGCCACTCATGCATATGCTATCAATCTGAAAAAGGAATTTCGTAAAACATATCGCTCAATGGATGTTTATCTACAGATTTTAGTATTCTCATCAGACGATGAAGAGCGTCTTATGGTCGACGTCTTCCGTGGGTACAACTCACTTATACCAGTAAGTTTGAGCAGTGGAACCATCCGATGAATAGTCGAAAAAAAAATGTTTTCCTATTTTCAGCCCATCAGAAATCTTAGTGAAATGCCAATAATCGTCAAAATTGCTATGCAGCTTTTTCTTCTCATCGATGTTGTAAGTGATAGCTTTTCTAACACGCCTTTCAGATTACAGCTGGTTTCTTGTAAATGTTTTAAGGATCTCACCCAGAATGGGTCGGGCGCAATTGTGTTACCCGGTGTGAACATGGGGACCCTATACCCTGACTGTGGCTTGTATAAATTGCAGATAGAAAGCATCTTAACACATGTTGAGCGTCACCAATTGAAGTCACAGCTCACAATAAAAATGGTCTGTGGAAGCCCTCCCTAGTAATATTCTGCCCTGTGATCCCACCGATAAAACAAGGGGCGATTTTGGGTCAAATTAGTACACCTTGCACACAGGCAGCTTACTGTAGTCTGCTATACGCACAGGCACACACATTTGGACAACTCACCCAAATACCCATTCCATGCTGCTTCTGCCGTCACATTCTCGTCCAACCCTTACCTTTACTACTATTTTGAAGCTTACTCTTTCTTAAAATACACTCATTCTCGCGTTTTCAGCGCCACTTTTGCACTACTCTGAACTATCACTTCCACTATTCGTCTGAAACTAGATACCCTAAAGTTCCCGTGAATTGTGACACTTTAGATTTTCGGCGCACTTTTTCCTTTTTCTCTTGGATTGCATACTTTGCTCAAAGCGCATGAACAACTGTCGAGCAGTTTTCAAAGGAATTTTCACTTCCGAATATCCAGAAATGTTAACTAATAACATATTTTTCAGGCAGAAAAGGACCAAGTGATGCACACAAATGTTTGGTTAACGTTGGTGAGTTCCAAGGATTGCTCATCAGATGTGTTCAACCTAATTTGAGCACTATCGCCTGTTATGCCAAAAACCCACCGTGTTCCATGTCCCACCTCCGCGTTTCTTTCTTTTTTAAACTTTTTTCATCCTACTCATAAGTGAGGGTTTCCTTAAAACTCAGTAGCTCTTCGAGTTCTTGACGATACGCCAAACTATCGGGTATCTACTTGTTGCGCAATTTCCTAAGATAATTTGTCGAATTCCCATGGCAATCGGCAGTGGTTCCGTGACGGCTACCGCATCCTTCCACCTATGATTCAAGGAAAACGTCCGTTGTACGCGTCCGTCGAAAGTAGGTCACCCCGCCCACTTCGCACGCGGCGCTGCCCACACTGAGATCTTGTGATTACAGTACAGTACCACCAAGTGTCGGTGGAGCGAACGAATTGCATTTGTATGTGTTCTCTTCTCTTTGAGCTGACTCCCGTGGACCAAGCGCAAAGCGTATGCCCCACTGACAACTGCGACGTCTGTCCAGTCTCGCGGGCGACGGCTGCAGCGTGACTTAGTTTCAACGGACGCGCGCAACGAAGCGCACACGGAATTCAAAGCTAACCCTTCATAGCGCGCGATGGTGCAGCAGTTTTTAGGGAGAAGTTCCCACATCTTTATTCCTCAGATCAAAACTTATATCACTTCTAACTCTTCAAAGATGAATACTTCCATTTCAAACACTTCTCGTCTTCCAGAGGTGGCACGATTTCCAGATGAGATGGAATCCTGTGAATTACGGTGAAATCAAAGAAATGCGCGTCTCACCAGATAAGGTCTGGTTGCCTGACATCGTTCTGTTCAACAAGTGGGTATTCAATGAATGTTCCCAGATGCTCTCATCAAAGAGGTCCTAATCGTGGGTTGTTACCTAAAGGCACAGTTCACGATAAAAATGACTTCTCAAGTTCTACCTAGGATGAACCCGCTCTCTCCTGAGATAACGCAAAGGTCGTTGTCGAAAAACGGCCCAATTAGAACGCAATGATGTCTCCGAAAACCGGTAAAGTCGAAGTACAGATTTTAGGCGGACGAGTTTTCAAGACGCTGTGAAGCTACAGAAGTTGCATATTAGCACTGCGACCCAAACGTTGCATGGATGAAGCTCACTGTAGCCATCTGTACGCAACGGCGCAAACGTTTGGACAACTCGTCCGAGTACCCCTTTTATGCAGGTTTTGTCGTAACATTCTCGTCCAAACACCGATTTTTTGAAGCCTTCTACTCAAATACACCAATTTTGAGATTTTTACATTTTTTTTACTATTCTGGACTATAGCTAACATAATTTTCTTAACTACATAGATACCCCAAAACTATCGTTAACTGTGCCTTAAACTGCATGACGTTTTTCGGAGGAAGCAAATTCATATCTCCGTTTTTTTTTTTCAGCTGCGATGGTAACTTTGAAGTGTCTTTCATGTGCAATGTTGTTATAAATTATCATGGTGATATGCTATGGGTACCACCGGCGATTTACAAAAGCTCATGCATTATCGGTAAGCCTAATCATATGGTTTAGTACCAATGAATATAAAAATGGCAGTGCAAGTCGTGCCCGCCCACACGATCATACAAAAACGCCCACCTGCTTTCAAAGGCGCTGTTCGCGATAATTCTGAGGTACTTTTTTGAAACGGAGTGTTCATGTAGAGCAGTACATCGGTGGCAAAGAAAGCGAGGAAATCCGCTCACTTTGTGAAAAATAATGTTCCCCTAAAGTAGTGAAAGTAGAGGTTGTACGAGATTACTACGACGGAAATGGCATGGAAGGGGATCTCAGACGATATTTCAGTTGTTGCAATGCGTAGAGAGTTGTCTACATTGAGCCAAAAATGTCCACTGCTCCTTCCACTGCTGGTTGGGTCATTACTAGTTGTTTGAATTCCCAAAATAGGTGTCCCTCGTGAACGGCTCGGCCTCGACAAAGCTGTTGAAGCACGTCCGCCTTTGGGCGTGGCATACATCGAAACAACTTTGAACCCTTATAGTGCCTTATTGAGGTCGTTTATCGATCTGAAGACCGACCTATATGGTTCACGGGAGGGAGGAGAAGAAGGGGTAAGAGGGGGAGGGGGAAGGGGGGAAACAGGTTCGTGCAAGAAGGACATCTCAGGAGCCATTTTTATCGTGAACTGTGCCTTTGAAAGAGTTGAAAACAGCGTTATGTTTCAGATGTAGAATACTTCCCATTCGACGAACAGGTGTGTACACTGGTGTTTGGGTCATGGACGGTCAGTCTCTTCTCGTTGGATCGCTATTTCCATTGAATTGAAAAGCTTTTGTTTAGTACAACGAGAACGAGATTAAGCTCGGGTTCGATCAAGCCGAATTGGTCGATCTTTCTGAATACGAGCCGTCTTCTATTTGGGATGTGATTGATGCTCCTGCACAACTGGTTAAAAAGCGGAGTAGAATAGAATTTCAAGTAAGAATTAGGTGAGAATGGACACATTCATAAGTGATTGAATCAATATGAAGTTCTCCTTAGCGCTACTTAATCTTGTTGGGATGCGCCCCGTATTCGACTTCCATTCAGAAACGTTGTGGCGTTTTGAATGGGTAATCGGCTTACACCATGACTTCCAGTGGCCAACCGATGTACAGTCACCATTTTTCCTGCCAGACGAGTCCGATGTCAATCAGCCGACCCCGTTGGGATGGAAGGCTTAGTTGGCTTGATCAAATATCCTGTCCCGGGTTTGATCACGATACCGTGACTTCCCTATTGAACACATTGAGGTCTACACATGCCTTTGCGATTTTGGAGCATTCCAACCGAATTAGGGAGAAACGATTTTTCCGAGTCACTTTCAGAACTAGCTCAATATTGAATCGAAAGGTTTTTGAAACCGTTTTACATGGATTGATTTTACGCATTGATTATTCAGACGAAAGACGCTATTCTACACTATCATATTGATCATTCCTACTTTTCTGATGGGATCTTTAAATCTGGCAGTATTCTTCCTACCAACGGATTCAGGTACCATTGTTGATCTGCTATTTTTATTGACTTTTCTACAATAGTACTTCAGCAATGCAGAAATAGCCAAAGCCAATAACGGAATGGGGCAGAAAGTGAGCCGATTAACGAGTCAATGTTTCTGACCCCCGAACGAGTTTAACCGACCTCTAATTGGTAGTAGGCTTGGTTGACTTAGGCCGATACCGACCCGTAACTCGAACACGTGACCATGCGTGTGTGGTAGGGCATAACTTCCCACTACACCAGCTTTAGCCCGGCCCTTTATTCTAGCGGGATAGTAATTTGAAATCTGTCAGTTGTCTTCTTGAAGTCATAATCGAAAGAGATTCCAGGAAAATGAATTGGAAGTAAGGAGTGCAGAAGTAATAAGGTCGATGATGCTGTGTAGGAATACCACCTGCTGAAGACACAAAGAAATGAAAATGAGGGGTCCCGTGAAACAGGTCAGAAAGGCGCATGGGAAGGCAGCAAGCAGGAGTTCTTGATCAAATTTACCTCACAATCGAAAATTGCGTACCGTGCCTCTGTAGGTAGTCGGCACAGCAAGGTTTGGAAAAGTGATCAAATCCTCCAAACCCTGTTGCTATATGTATTCTCACCAATCAGAGTTTTTGCATCCATTCTCTCGATTAACTCTATCCGACGAGATAATAAAACAACTTCCAGGTGAAAAAATGACGCTTATAATTTCGATTATGCTTTCAATTGTCGTATTTTTACTGCTCGTATCGAAAATTCTCCCACCTACATCCAGTACGATTCCGCTACTGGCAAAGTAAGCATTTGGTACTTTAAACTTCACCCGACTCCAAATTTGTGCTGTCAGATGTCCCGTTCCACGGAGTCTTAAGATAGTTCGAATCTAACTTACCCATGCCTTTACAGGATTCAAATCTAACTTACTCATGCCTTTACAGGTACCTACTACTCACCTTTGTACTTAACGTCATCACTATCCTGATCACAATTATCATTATCAATATTTACTTTCGAAGTCCCACAACACATCCTATGCCAGAATGGGTGCGATCGATCTTTTTGGAAGTAAGGACCTTCAAAATTCAGCGAAGGGACTTAATTTCCAACATCATTCCTTCAGTGGATGCCACTTCTGATGTGCCTGCAACGGCCAAAATCGGCTTCACGGAAACTGATGACCAAGAAGAAACGCGGTGCCACAGTCGCTAAGCTACCAGGAGTTGGCCAGTTCCCTCTAAATCGCGCCAGGCATCATCCACTATGTCCGAGTGCCGACGACAGGTATTGGCCCAACATTCTAGTGAGGAAATCTACAGATTCAGATGAATACAGTTCAAAAAAAGCTTTTCATTACCTTTTAAGGACCGTTTCAATAAAAGTTCTGAATTGTGGAGATGATATTCCGAAAGATCCGGGCACGATCATGTTCTATCCACTTTCACCTGACGCACTTCGTGCCATTGATGCAATCGAATACATCACAGACCATATAGTTCAAGAGAAGGAATACAAAATAGTAAGTAGATCGTTAGCGAGTTTTACCTAACTTTATCGATCAATACTTGGTCAATATGGGCATGGGAGTTACCGGTCCGCCACACGTTTGACGTTAATCCCTTGCCCCAGTATGTGCGTCAGTAGGTCCATGTGTTTTGTAGTCTGTTCCTGTTCCAAGGAAACGGAACGATACTCTATGATGCTGGGTCGACATAAAATTAAGCAGTCTCAGGAGTTGATTCTGGATCAAAGTGGACGTAGTAGCGCACAAGACGGGACTCCAGCAAGAGAGACTGTAGAGGCGTTCTGGGTTTTCTGAAGAAGCCCTTGAATGAACATCACACATGAATATCTGCCCATAATCGACAATCTTCGGCCATACATACCGTATAGCGGACTCTGATACAGAAGCGCCATAGCGTGATCACCCTTTTTATCGTAGGAGTAGAGCCACAGCCCATTACGGACTGCAGAAGGTGCCATCCACAACTGACCGTCGCCTTAAGAGACGTCATATTGTCTCAGCTTCAACCTCGTATGAACCTAATGGGTTCTTTTTTGAGTTTGTGGGTAAATATCGGATTGGTTTCCAACACGTGGGAGGACTGGTTTCAAATGGGCTATGCGGACGGTGAAAGCTCTGTAAAGCCTCACAAGGATGGCGGTTTGGCGGCAAAGCTTCAGATTTGAGCTAAACTCGAACCCGTACTCGTGTAAAGTTCTCTGAAGGCCCAATCAGGAGGATGGAAACCGGGAAAGGGAAAAATCAACTCCTCTTATACATCGTAGGCTTTGAGATTTGACAGATCCACGTTGCTGTATAAGGCGAAACAGTGTTGGTCGTTCAAAGCGGAATTTCATGATACCGATCGAAATCGATTACAATAGTGCAAACGAAGGCAACCTTTGAGGCCATCAATATAGCCAACCTTCTTCAGCACTGTGATGATTGGAAGTTTGTGGGGATGATTATCGATCGTTTGTTACTTTACGTCTTCTTCGGCATCACAGCTGGAGGCACATGTGGAATACTGTTCAGTGCTCCTTCCGTGTTCGAAGGTAGGTCTAGAGGTTACGGTAAGAATGCACCCACTTACAGCGGTCATTCAATCTTGCTGTAAAATCACAAAGTATCTCACTGCGTTGTTTGTTTCGTTTGAATCATAGCACAGGGGAATTGATGGGAAGCTTTTCAATGAAAAAATGTCATGAGTAAAATTTGTTTACAATCGACAAAAACAACAACCAACAGTGAACAACAAGACGACATTTTATTACAGTACCATCTGTTTCAGGGGTAAATCAACGTGAAGTACTGGATAAACTTATAAACTTGTATAAAACCGGTGGTGGTATCCGTGATTAACTGATACGGGTCAGTCAATGCTTTCATATTTGTGCCTTGTGATCATATCTATTTTTGAATGAAGATTTATAACAAACGCTGTTTGAATGACTCCTTCGATGGATAGCTTTTTTTCAAATGTTACAAAATTCTAGCAATTGAACATCAAAGGAAATTTGGAATTCCCAAAAAAATGGGACCGAAAAAGGTACAAAATTAGATAGAAAATGCTGCAGGAACAAAAATTGGCTGCGTCTCTTGGAGGCTGTACCATCAGAAAGTTGAAACAGTATTGAAGTCAAAATAGGTTTTTCGTGAGCACAAGCTGCTTCATGGAAGCTATATGCGACCTTTAATAAAGTATTTCTGAGTAAAAATTTGAAAAAATACTTCTGAGACCATGATGGACAACTATTCCACTTCAAATTAAGTACCGTGGAGCGGGTGAGGGGCGTGGTCAGAATCAGCTTTGGGCAGAATGTGTTTTAGCAACCAGGCAAAGTGTCAACTTGGCACTCTTTTTTTTGCTATTCCTATCGACGACGAACGATCAGACATTACTTTTCAAAGACAGGAGAATACGAACGTTTCGTGTACCATATCCACTCGCAGCTTAGTCAAACCCATCGAGGTAGCCTCTGAATTGGATCCTTGGACTATGTGTGTAACGATAGCGCCATTTACCACTCAATCATACCTGTCACGGACAGAATCTGTGGCTAATATCAATGCTCTATTGATTTATTAATGAGAATTTCTCTTATATAGCCAATCAAGAAATTACCGAATAACTATCATGGTTGAGATGGCTTTTCCTGGCACACTGAACTCCAGCTGTCACCCGTAACTCGCCGTTGAATTCACCTTTTTACACTGGCTCACTACCACGTCGATAATTGACGGCAATCCCATCAGTTGGTTTCGGCAGCAGCTCCTCTCACTCATTGCAATTGTCATCAGTTCAAACAAATGTTTAAAATCAGTTCTATATAGCTTCGATCCAAACCAGTGAAGAAGTTCAGCCGTCTGCCGTCCAGTTCGGAAGAACTGCTTTTCTTTTTCTTTTGCAGCTGATGGATGAAGTTTTTTTGTTTGGCCATTCGTTTCGTGCTCATCATTTTCTTCAGTGTTTTGACATTAAACTCTTAATCTTGGACTTCCTCCTCCTCCTCTGTTCCCTCCCCTTCACTTGAGAAAAATCCCAGATAGCAGACTGGTCTTCCCACAGAAAGACGGAGAGGTCAAAGCGAAAACGGAACCTGTGGGATCTTTGAAACGATGTCGCAGGAAGGGAAAGGACTGATCGAGGAAATACAAAGGAAACCAGGGTTTAGAATATCAGAATGAGTAGAAGTCATCGGAGAAGTAATCATCAATAACATTATCTTCGACCAGACCCTCAGTATCATAAGCTATCCCTGATCTGATGCAGCTCAATATTATCTTGAGATTCTTATATCATAATTGTTTGATTGACTCAGTCTTCTTTTTATAAAAAATTAGGGACCGAATATTTTTTTTTTCAAAATGAACATCAATCCTCAGAGATAAATTGCTACAAAATAAGAAGCCTTCAGTAGTCCTACCTCTTTTCTGGTTGACAAAATCACAGGAACCTCAGAAATTTCTCAACGTTTCGCACACTGAGAGGTGGCCCGATTGAGCTGACTGCCTAATATTTGAAACTTCTGTCAAAGCTTTCATGAAAAACGGGCTCAAAACAGCTCCAGTAGCCAAAGGACCTATTGAATCGCTTACCATAGAATATGTAGTAAGGTCTTCTAAATTTAAGGTTATGGTACTTTACTGGAAAAAGATTAAGTTGATCTCTGCAAACATTGTGAAGAAATATTCCATGCTCGTAAGTTTGGATACCAATAGTTAAGGCTGTTGAGGGAGGAAGACGTCAACTATCAAACATCAGACAGTGGGAACAATTCTCCCAAAGAGTAAGGTATATCTAGCACACCTTCTAGCCCTCCTCATCTAAGTAGACTATGTCAAATTTTGAAAGCAATCAATCATCTCAACCAATTTGAATTGAAGCCTTTTGCGTGGCACATAAGACAATTCAACAGCGCCTAACTTCTCTTTTTTACACTTTATTTACTTCAGAATCGATATGTGCAGCCAGCAACATTAACGTTATGCTCTTCTATCAGCTTCTTCCTATTCTATTCATTCTTCTATTCGTTCGAGGTAAGTTTCGCTATCAACCGGTCCACTCTAATTGCTGAATGGTGCCCACTTCCGTCTCTGATAAGTTGCTTCCGGTCCCAGTGAGTTTCGGTCGCCGGTTCACCTGTTATCGGTCAAAAGGGTCCAGTCCTGAGGAAGCGATTGGGAATCCCTATATTAGTCAACACCTAGTTCCAACCACCTCTGTGCTTCTTCTTACCAAAATATCTTCAAGCGTGAGGTAGCACTTCTACGAAACCCTTTTGTCCGATAACAGGTGAACCGCCCAACGAAACTCACTGGAACCGGGAGCAACTTATCAGAGACGGAAGTGGGAACGGCGTGTGGATTTTTCAACTTGTGCATGATGAGCCAACTTACAAGTTTTCGCTGCTCACGCGGATGTCCTTTTTTGTCGCTTCCCATTGCTTCCCTCTAAAGTACCTTATTTAGAAAGGTCACAGAAAAATAGAGATTGGTAACAGTTGACCATGAATTGAAGAAATAAATAAATTCGGGTAGATTACAATAAGGCTGAACAAAAAATTTATTCAAAAGAATTCATGATGCATCATTCTGTTGAGAGTTTCAGTGCATACCTCTGAAGATGAAGAGCGTCTTATGGTGGACATCTTCCGTGGCTATAACTCACTTATTCAGGTACGTTCACTGGACCGCTTGATACCGTAACCGATCAATTTTCACGTTCTACCTCTAGATTTATAGTATCTATACAAGTATGCTCTATTTGTAGCCCATTCGAAATGTCACAACCATGCCAATTATCGTAAAAATCGCTCTACAACTTGTTCTACTTATCAACGTCGTGAGTTCATGCCAATTTTCCCTGACTATGCCCTTAACCGTTACACGAACCTCGTCTAATAAAACTTTTCGCATAATCCTCATAATTAGAAGAGACCCCCGGTGTTCACAGTTGCGATGGAGCTTTTCCATTAACCCGTTAGATGCCCCTACCAGAAAGTTATATCTTACCGTTGCTTCTCGTACAAGGTTGATAATGGAGAAGGAACCAACCACTAGTGGGAGGTAAAAGCCACACTTGGTGGTGGGAGGTAGGAGCCACACTTGGGAGCCCTTATATTCCGTGTAGCTGATGAAGGACCCGGTTGTCACTTGATATCTAACAGTTATGAAAATGAAACGAGTAAAACTTTCCAGAAAGTGAATTTGGGCCAAAATTTTAATTTCTTACCCTTGCCCAAACTGATCAATAATATATTCTAGGACGAGAAGGATCAAGTGATGCACACAAACGTCTGGCTGACATTGGTAAGTACTCTGTTGAGAATGGATCGATTATCGATTTATTGATTCCATTCACCAGAAATGGCACGACTTCCAAATGCGATGGAATCCTGTAAATTATGGCGAGATTAAAGAAATGCGAGTATCACCAGATAAAGTCTGGTTACCTGATATCGTCTTGTTCAATAAGTGAGTTAATACTAGTGAATATGGGACAATTGTCTATGAGAAGCCACTGGGATTTCGTCTCAAATGTAGGGGGCGGTTTGTCGCGCGCGGCAAGCGACGCAACTTCACGGCAATTATGTGCCGTGACACCCCCTGTCGCATCTTGTCGCGCGAAAAAACCGCGTGCGACGCCTTTCAAATTTGAACGACGTCGCACCCCGATCTAACGATATAAAACCGGGATCATTCTCGCGTTCATACTACGCGATCAGATTGATGGCTACTTATGGGGATGCATATCGATCTACTGCTAAGCCGTATATCGTCTACCGCTAAAAACTATAATTACGCGTGTGTTAAACTCTGAACATTGGTTTTGAAAAGTTAATATACTGTAGCTAGACAAGAATATTCAATTCCAACTTCAGTACTATGAAATGGTCTACGTTTGTCAGCAAAAATTGAAGGCGTGAAAAAGGCCGAACACCACTTTTTTCTATTTTAAGCGCTGATGGTAACTACGAGGTATCATTCATGTGTAACGTCGTCATAAACTATCATGGCGACATGCTTTGGGTACCGCCAGCCATCTACAAAAGCTCGTGCATCATCGGTAAGTCCATAATGATCCGATATTTACCTACTAATCATTCTTCTTGTTCATTGAAGCAATTTCCCTATCAGGGACAGGATACTCACTTCCCACAACAACCCACAGCCCGTAGTTTTGCCCTCTTGAAAATATTTGGATGTTCTTCCGTTTCTCCTGTTCCGGGAGTGGTGGTGTTAAAAAGTAGACTACCCTAAAATTCCATAGATAAGAGCGGTCCCTTAAAACCGCTATTTTTCTATATGAATCGTTCATCAAGTGGGCGGGGTTAAGAGTTGAGGGGCTGATCTTCTTCTAAACTTCTCCGCCGATTTTTATTTATCCATCCATCAAGTTAGAGAGTGACTGCATTCAATTTCAACTTTTTCCAATTTATTTTTCACCGGTAAATCAATCTATGGAATTTTAGGGTAATCAAGAAGCAGCCTGACCCCATGAACCCCGCCCACCAAAAAGGGACACTGTTCCCAAAAAGGGAAAAGGGCTGGTGAGAACAAGGGCGGCAAAACCGGTTTCGCACAAATTCTCACTTATCCTTATCCCTTACGATTGTTATTGTTTATGAAGCTTGCTCTGGTCAGAACAGGACGAGAAGTCAACGGTTCTTCCCTACCCAGAAAGCACAAAAAGGTTGTACCGTCGGTGGTTTGGACGTGGGGAAGGGGAAGAGGAGAGTGGCATCTCTGTTGCCTGCCGTAAGGTATTTAGAAACCTATTCCTGAGGGTAACCCGAACCAAAAGTGCATAAGTAATGTGTTGGCACAAAAACGCAGCAACTTCCTTTCTGTATTTCAGACGTGGAGTTCTTCCCGTTCGATGAGCAGGTGTGCACGTTGGTGTTTGGATCGTGGACGGTAACTATCAATCACAACATCTTTTGTTTCCAATGATAGCATACCCGTAAATAGTTCCATCTTGACTATTTCAGTACAACGAAAACGAGATCAAGCTTGAATTTGAACAAGCCGAGTGGGTAGATCTCTCGGAGTACGCACCGTCTTCTATCTGGGATTTGATGGATGCACCGGCATCATTGGTGAATAAACGGAGTCGAATAGAATTCCAAGTGAGAATCAGGTACGGAAAACTATTATTTGTCTAACTTCTTGTTTTGGATGATGTGCGGGCAAATTATCAGCCTTGGGCGGGACGAACTTACCTCTGAACGGGAAGTCCCAAAGGCTAGACGTTTGGCCTACAATCCGGTATCCTTCTAGTAATCTACGCGGTCAATTACAGCAATTCACAGAAAGTAAACAAATCGAACAGAAAACTTTACCTTGTTTGTGTTGTTCAAAGCGGCAGATTTCATTAGACAGCAATTGTTCAGGCGCAAGACGCTCTTCTACACTATCGTACTGATCATTCCAACCGTATTGATGGCATTTCTAAGTATGGCTGTATTCTTCCTTCCAACGGACTCAGGTATCTTGTACATAACTAACTACTGGTTGCGCTTCGTTGCGCGCGTCCGTCGAAACTAGGTCACGCCGCAGCCGT